CCGCTTTAAAAAATTATGAAGAAGCATCAAGCCCTTCATAGGAGTTTAACCATGCCAATATAAAAGATATCAAACATCTGTATATTCAGTATATTTTGTATACAAATGTCTACAGCCTTTTTAGTGCTGAAATAATAAATAAAAATTCAATTTATTTGGTCGTTGAGCCTCAATATCGTTTGTTTATTTGTTTATATTTCATCTTTGCTGGAGGATTTTGAATAATGCGAATATAAGGAACATAAATGTTATATTTAGTCACTTCGCAAGACGAGTTTACTTAAGACTAACTTTATTTTTAAAATCAATTCTTAAAACTAATACAATATTAATGTATAGAGCTTTTAAAGATTAATATAATATTAATGTATAGAGCTTTTAAAGAGAGCTCTATATACTTCGTTATAATAGTTATAACAATAAAAATCCTTTGAATATCGTTTGGTGCATATTTCAAGGTTGTAAGAATTTTATGTTTTTATTTATTTTTCAATTTATTATATAGGAAATACTTGACTAAAATACACTGAAAATTCTGATAGTTATTGCAGTAAGACAGCAGCTTCAAATTAACTTGAGTTAAGGAAAATAAAAAAAAATAAACATAGAAAAAATTCAACGGTTCGTATTCATTTTGTATTTAAAACAAACAAAAAACTATAACAAAAAATGAATGAAAATTGTTTTAACATAGCTCAGCGGGTTCGGTCAACAATTGCGGTTTGGTCACAAAAGGTTTAAAATAAAATTATTTAAACAATTTGCAAACATTTTAATTAAACATTAAAATGTTGACATAGGCAAAATAATTTTAGCGATTTTTAAAGCATTTCACTTCGTCGCCGTTGACGTTGGTGCAAATTTTGTGATGTGAACTATTAAAATGCAATTACCGCACTTTGAACTTGTGCCACTGATAATATCATTCATTTGAATTTTGAATTGAAGTGTTTTCGAAGTGACTACAACTCGATTAACATGCATTTTTCATTTGTTTCGAGTTTGAAGTGCTTCCACTTTAAATACTTAACCCAGCTGAAGTTGGATTCGGGTCGGGCCAATTGGGCTGGGTACTTAATTCATTTTCAAACAAAATAGGTACACAATAATTCAATTAATTGGATAAATTTTTTTATTAAATTGTGCAATGTCTAAGCTATCACGACTTTAATAATTTTAAGCTATCTGAATCAAATGTTTTTTATTTATTAAATTATTTCTTCAGCACTTTTGTACGAAAAATAATCTCTCGCCAACAGCTTATAGCTTGTTAAAACATAATTTTATATAATTGATCGATATTTATGTTGAAAAAATGTATGTAAGGTTACTGAGCTCAAAAGGATACAAATTAATATTTGATTTACCTCACAGCGTATATGAACTCAACTCAACGGCACATATGAGTAATATTTTTCTTATGAAACTATCAGGTAATGGGAATGAATATTGAAAATATGATTTTATTACTTTTGAAGTATAAGTAATTTAACTTTTGTATCAAGAAATCCAATAAATGCACAAAATGTACAAAATTCACAAAATGTTAAACATTAAAAACTTTAGTCCAATGAAACAAGCAGGAGATATGTGTTTGGTTTCTGCGGGCGGAGTTGCCACAGTTTCAGGATAAATCAATCAAGTTCCAGGCAGCAATTCTGTTTTATTGAGTTGTACATAAAAACATTTAACCATAAATGCATTTAAATATTTCTGTATAACTTCTGCTTACTCAAGTCAAATGTGAGCAAAACAGTCACTGCTAAATGTGTAGTACCTTCAACTTTTTATCTATGAGGTCTCGTTAGAATCTCCACAATTTTAAAGTTCGTTTAATGACTTTTTTGTATGATTGATGTGTAAATTGGGTGTATATAGAGTGTTGATGTTGGACATTATATATAAACTTGATATTAATATTAATTGTAATGACACTCACGGAAATTGCTGCGTTAAACATGAATGAAGCAGTATGGTTTGCATATCAATATAAAGGGTGTCAAATAGTCCTCTATTTAAAAGAAATCCTTCGGGAGAAAGTCTCTTATATATTTAAAATAGTTTATTCGAATAGTATAAGTCATACATCCATTACAAGCTAATTAAATGGTATTCCATGATTAATATGGTATTGTACTTAATTAGGAACCTAATTTTTTATAAAATCTTTCATTAAGCCTATAAAAAATCTTGTTTATTTCAAGATTTTTGTAAAGTAAAATTTAAATATCGAAAGTTTTGATGATATTCAAACACTAACTCAACATACAAAATAACCACCACTCTAAAAATCTGGTTCATCTTTTTGATTACAAGGACTACCTTTTTTCATCCAATATGAATTTGTCTAATGTAAGCGAATGTCGACTGTGCTTAGAAGAAGCATTTAGTTTTGTTTATTTATTTGTAAGTTAACATTAAAATTAATTTTGAAGTTAACTAAGAATAAGGAACTAGACTGCTAGGTCTTTTGCCCTAATGAAAGAAATAAAAAGTTTGCCTTCTTTGTAATTAGTATTTTCTGCCTTGATCTAGGACTTTGAGATTGCAATTGGTACATTCTAAACGAAAAACATTCTGGCGAATGAACGAAATCCCTGTCATTCGGTAAAGCGATATAGCTCTCTGACAAAATTTCTTTTAGGATCATAAGATGTTGCTCTTCAGAATTTAGATCGCTATAGATATTCTGTTGTGCTTTAATTGCTTTAATTAAAAACTGCTTTGTTTTCAAATTTCCTAAAGAAGGTAGAAATAAAAAAGGAGAAACTAAATAAGAAGAATTTAATAAAAATGATTTCTTGTGCGTTTAAACACAGAATTATTATTATGAGATTATTTAAAAACTCTCAAAACAAATGATATTACACACATGGCATATTTATTTACAGATGAATAATAGATAATAATACTAATTTAATAACTAGTAATTTATAATTCATCTAATAGACTATAGATTATTAATTAAACGAAACCAAAATGTTATGAAGTCGTAGTCTATAAAAATAAGGAAAACCCTGAAATTATCCAATAACGCTTAATGGGTCGGTCAAAGGGAAATTGCTTTTATTGATAATGTTATTGCGAGGCGGAATAAAAGTTCGATTGCCATCCATAAATGTTGAGCACGCATACAATTAGCGACAAATTCAACTGCTTACATCCGAAGAGGACAATAAGGCAGCATGTGTGGAAGCGAAATTGATGTTCGTTTGTGTTTTATTTAGTAATGAAGAAAATTTAGCTGCACAAGTAACAAATTCCTACAAAACACATCAACAAGATGTACACTTTCGAATAAGAGATCCTTCTGGTAAAAGTACAAGTATAACACGACTTACCTCAGTAAAGGATGGAATACAAGAGTCAACTTAATCGACTTAGACAACCTGACGCAAGTGTAGCTATAAAAAAGTTCGCAACATGAAGATAATAATAAAATCAGATGACCATGGCAACAATACCAATAACGCATACATTAGCAATTGTTGCCAAAGGGAATTCGAAAACACAATTATCCTTGTTAAGCAGAACATAACGAAAGCGCTCAAAGGAGATGACAGCATTAAAAATTCAAAACATGTCAAAAAGCGCTTAAGGATTCTTTTCTGCACAATTACGTGTGCTAACGTTTAATAAATGCATAAGCAAAAACATTGATAAAAACTCATTGCCATTAAAATAATACTGAAATGTAAGTGGCAAATTCTGTATTCGATATAGGTCACGCCTCAATATTTAAGTACAAAACGTAAATAAACATTCAAAAGCACTATTTCAGAAATTTTCATTTTTATACTTCACAAATTCTTAACTTTAGACGAAATCCTACGGTTTATAAAATATTTATATTTGTTGTGACGAAGCCAAGGGATAAGACTATTACAATAAATAAATTATATTTGGAATTAATCTGTTCATTTATTAGAATATGCAATGCCCGAATTCCCTCTCAGTATGTTGCAAACATTTTGACCAACTTAATATACCATTTTTCAACGTTGTATGTATTAAGTGTAATTGGTAGATAAAAAATGTAATCTTAAATGCAATGACCATTATTTTTAAAATTGTTTTTAAAATATGATAGATAAAATTCAGATCTAATATTAAAATAATTTTTATAGCAAAATATTATTTGTACATATGGATAAATAAATAAAAATAATGTATCTATGAGAATTGAAGTAGTGAATTTTTGTAGCGTTTACTATACAAACACTAAAATTATATCATTTTTGATAAAATATATCAACAATTATAAAAAAATGAAGAAAACGTCCTTTTTTAGCTTTGAACTGCCAAACTCAGTAGCAAACAATGGACTTCGTTTCTTTCAAATATATGACATACATGAGCTTAGTAAGTCTTTTGACATTTCTAAAATAAAAGTTTTTGTCCTTAACAACTTCTTCAGTGAAAACCACAAAATTATGACTTGAAAAGTGCTAAAATGTCACTTGAAGAAAGTGGTGGTACTATATTCTGTAGAAGTTTTGCCATAACATATAAGGTACTAGTAGCTTCATAAATATATTTTAAGACATAAATATAGATATCGCTATGAAAATTGGTTAAGGAACTGTAATTTAAAAAGTATTACAGTCTTCTGTATAAAAAAATTTGATTAAAACGCACATTTCCAACCTCCTTATTAGTATTAAGCAAAGTTGAATTTTGAAAATATTTTTTTAATATTTTTTTAATATTAAAAAACCTCTTTTTTCTAAATTATTCTTATTTGAATTTTTGTAAATAAATAAAATAAAAGTTTTTCGGGCTAAAAATAGAAAAGTAGTGAATTACAACAACTAAAATTTATTTTTTATATTATTTTAATTAATTGAATTTTTGAGTATAGCCAAGTCCCCATCATCAGTGGTCTTGGAAATATATCTTGTATTTAATTATTCGCAAATAGTTTTTTGAGACTGTAAGTATCAGGAATCAAACTCCTGTTTTTAATAATAAACTTATATAAAATCTAAAGCATTACCTACCGTTCTTAAGAATGAAACATCGTCCTGCTCCGATCCTCCTTCCGTTTCGGCCATATCCGTGCAGAACTCACTTTAGCCGGAAATATTAAAATGAAAAAACTTAAGCTCTCAAGTTTGTTGGAATTTTCAACATCGACGATGCAATTAAACAAAAATTTTCAAAAACAACTAAAACTGACTGCGACCAGAACGCAGCGAGTTAGTTCACGTCGTATTATTTTTCTTGGCACCAAGTTTCCGTTAAGTCGGGTCAAAAATATTTAACTATAAAAAACTGATTTGAAAAAAAAAATCGATTTACATTAATGATCCACTATTTCTATTATTTAAGTTTATTTAATAATTTTTGTATAAAAATTTTATCTTTCATGTATTTTTATATGTTTGGTACATAGTTTCCCTTTTGTTTTTGCAAATTATTTAGAATACCAAACAGTTTGAAAGTCACTGCCCACTTGTCGTTTTACGTTTCCTATCAACCAATGAGCAAAATGTTACATATTGTATAACAGCAAAAAGCTCTTATTTTCATTGCTCTTAAATTTAATTCTTGCGCAAACAACACCTAAAATATTAGGTGCTCTCCACATTTTTGTTTTGCTTCAACATTCGCAAGTTCAGCTGATTTTTGCGAATGTTTAGACAGTTTTATACTCTTCTTAGCGTCACGTGCTCTCGTGCCTCTCACATTTAATAAGTTTCTTTTTGAAAAATATTCATTGGAAAATGTCACCTCTTTCTCAAACTGCAGCAATTTTCTGCTTTTACGTTGGCGCCGGCACGACTTTGCCATCGTGTGAGTGAACTTTCTTTCGGGCATTGAGAAAATTTTCTATTGAATAAAATTTTTAAAAAAATTTTTCTCTAAAAACTTGGCTAGTGGCCAATTTAAATATTTTTGGGTCTGTGTATATTTATTTCATAATGAGCTATTTTGACATAATTGATTGAATTAACTGAAACATGTCTGAAAGCTGAGTTCTTGGCCTTAGTACTCTGCTTTTAGTTCTTCCTATGCATTTGACTGATGAAAAAGATGATTTGTGTACTTCTTCGTCCTCCACAAGGACATTAAAGTTAACTATTCAATGTTAAATAATATATTAAAAATGTTCCGAAACTCTTTTATTCTGTACGTGAATAAAGTACACATTAGCGTTTTTAAATTAAAAATAATGGAACTACAATTCCCTGGTTAAGGTATCAGACTTAATTTAATTTATTTTAATCGTATAAGCTTGAAAGCTTTAACACTCATAGATTAAATTATGTGTAAAAGAATAATCTGACTTTATTAGAATGGGAAAGTAGCGGAGCTTGAATAACTTAAGAAGGAGAAGGTCCTTCCGATGTGGAAGCTATATCTGAATTCAGCTTAACATTAACTTATTTCACTATATATTGTGAAATAAATTTAACATTAATTTAATAATTAATTTTAATAATTATGGTTTGAAAAAATTTGAATTTGTTCTATTGGTTTTTTATGTGCTTGCTTTGTAAAATCTAGTATATTATTTTCTGTATCGCATTGTGTGGATACGAGGTGTCTTAAGTGAACCACAGTAGTTTTATTGGGTAATTAAAGCGTTTCTTCAGTAATATTTTCTTTGTCAAGTAATATTATTCGAAAGCAAAAAACCATAAAAGCAGAATCCTGCATCTGTTATATAGAATAGTCAATAACATTTGTTAAATCGAGATTTCGTTATGTTGGACATTCATTATACTTTATAAAATAATTAAGATATGTAATGATTAAATAATATTCAAAGCAATTATCTTTGAATTCTTCAAATTTTAGTCGATTTGGTTTATGCAACCAAAATGTATATATGTGAGTATCTTTAAGTTCGGTATGCATAAATATCGTACGATTATTGTTACATTTTTCTATTTGATTTCACACAACTCGATTAAAAAGTTTTCAATTTAATTTGGGTTTTAAACATCTTCAGGCGGTGGAATTGTAAACTGATCATTTATCTTTGAATTTGGTTCGCTTTACAGTGGAATGAGTCCGTTCATTTGCAGTTCATATGAATACAACTACGATTATTATTCTGAACAAAAATTGAAAAATGAAAATATATTAATATATTAAATGAAAAATGTACATTTTATGTATTTTGTACAAATTACGACAATTGGAATTGTCACCAATTGCTTGAAGCAATCAATTTACGATAAATTAATTAGAAAATTGTAGATTAAATTATAAATTGAATAGTAAAAAGTGAAAAAAGTTGTCATTTAATACGTTTTTATATATTTATAAATACTGATTAGCGATTAACTAAAAGCTTCTAATACTATTTTCCCCAAAAATAATATTAAAACTATAGGTCTGTTATAGTAATTTATAGGATTTTCTAAAATATAATTTAATAAGCTATAAGCAACTTTAATTTAAATTTTTCCAGTATGTGTACGGGTTGCAACCAACCAGCGGAATGAGTATTTTGTCGATACTATAACCTACTATAACCGCTTAAATTGTAAAGAAATTTAATTACTTAAGATCTAAACAAGACTTGTGAAGCAAGTGTTGAACTTGTGAAAAAAGTCATATGAGTACGAAGACCAAAACTGAAATAACTATTTTTTTTAATAATAAAATCTTCTCTTCTGATATTTTTTTTAAAATTCCTTTTAAAAAATTTTCTTCCCAAATTTTTTTGTAATTCTTTCTGATTTTCCTGATTCTTTTCTACTACTTTTGTTGTATTGTATTGAAGAATGTATGCACAACTATAAGTGTAAGTAAATACTACAGTAATATATGGTACGACATATGGTACGAGCAAAGTTAAAGCTGTGTTCATTTTTGGTTATATTACGTGTTTGATGGAGTGATATGGAAATTTGATCTAAAAAGAGATTGTATATGTTTTAGACTTCAGTCATGCCATAAACGATTTAATTAAAATTTAATAATAAATATTGTCTTACTGTTGTATTATACAATAATTACTGTTAATTCATGATAAATAAATTCAGATTCGCTATTTTCTTATATATTATTCCATAAGTCGAATGTAGGACGTCGTCTGAACCTAAAGAACTACGGTTGAAATTTATATAACTGAAAATGAGAATCACTAAAATTGAATTTAGTGAAAATAATTTTTTATCCACTACTAGAGCACAGGAGAAAAGGAGTTGGAAACGTGAAAACCATTTAGCTTTGTTTTGGGATACACGATAAGCAAAAGTATTTGTATTTGAATTTTAGTAGTAATTGATTTTAATAATTTATTAAAATTGTCAAAAAAATAAGGTATCTCGATAAATTTTTCCGTACTAGAAGAGACATTTTGATATGGTATGTAACAAATTTATTTTTAACATTTCTTGACATGTTGGTAACATTAACAATAGTGCTTAACACAACGCTAAACGTGTCTGGATCAGAATCACAGCATCTGCTAAGGTTCAACAAAAGAATATGTAGTAGTCAACTGAGCAGTCAGAGCTGGCAAGTATTTATCATTGCTAACAACAACAATTGTCAAGGTACGTCAAGGTTGTCGTTGTCAAGTACTGTTGGACGCACATCCGCTTTCACAAATACAACTCCATGTATTGCAACATTTTTGTATATGAAACTTCATGTGAAAGCACACAAGCAAAGCCAAATTGGTATTTGTATCTGGGTAGCACTTAAAAAACTACAAAAAAACTACGGAATATTTGCAACAGTTTAAGCTGTAAATTGGAAATTCGTTGCGTTTACAGAGTCAAGTCACTTTTTACTGTATTTTTCCAAACAAAAGCAAATAGAAAAACAAGTTTTTGTACTGTTAAATGACTTTGAACTGGTTTTGGGGCTGTTGCACTTGACTTTCCTTTACTGTGTGTGTGTATAAATACATATATGTGTATAAATTTGTGTATATATGCTTGCTTTTTTGTAGTAGTTGTTGCCTGTTTTAAATGGTTTTGCGCTTTAGTTGATTCTCGGTGTTGTGAAAATCTGGTACAGCTTTTTAAATCGTTTATTTTTTTTAACAATTTTAAAAAGGCTGATACACAAAAATCTGACATAAGACCCACATCAGTAGTGACGTTCAATACTACCAGTTCAATGCAAAAAAGGATATGTCTTATTTTTCAATACAATAAGACTTTTATGCATTTTATTGGAACGGGAAGAAGGGCTCGACGGCGGTGCTTCGATTTTTATTGCAGTTCAATGTGGTGCTTGAACGGTGGCAGCTAACGTTGCTCCTGTTGTTGCAAATTACTGTTTCCCCATTTCAACCACTGCAATCAAATGCTACAGAGCAGTCATTCGTACACAAAACCAATGTCTGCTCTGCCTAGTCGGGTGCTCAGGCTATTGTGTAAGTGCTTTCTGTGCATGTTGATTTTATTGTTGAATCCATTGTTAGTAATTTTGATGTAGTTTTATTTGTTGAACTAAAACCACTCAACACTTGAGTTAACACAACAAATATTGTTTTCACAAGTGCAGCAAGAATACTTTTTATGTCCTTCCAACATGCACCACACTCTTGAAAACATGATTACAATAGTACATGTCGCCTTATGTACAAATCGAGAGCCGGCTCTCGACTAGGCAATATTACTACATGTCCACTTACACCTTCGCAATGGCCTACATTACCGTATGAAATTTGAAAAAAAGTGCTAAACAAAAGCACAAGACAATATTAAGTCATGAAATATTGGATCGAACGTAAAATTCGTTTTGGTGTCAAAACTGTGCAGTAAAGTTCAAATTTTTTTATTTTATTTCCAGTGCTTGTCCTTTTTTTGATGGTTTCTGAATTATTTCCATTTTAGATAACTTACGGACAATAATATAGTTTGATTGTTTTGTTCTAGGCAATGCTCGTTTGTCGTTCCTTCTCAAACTAAAGGTGAAATAAACTATTTAGTGGAACAGAAAAATAGGTTGTGCCCATAGAAATTTGTTAAAGCATAAAATTCAATATCGTAACGGAACCAAAAGTATTGTTTACTTTAAATTCTTTATTCGTAGTGGTTGACAACAAAGAATATAAGATTTACTCTATGGAAGTAAGTTTTCAAATTGATATAATAAAAATTGGAAATGAATGTAACACTCTCTACAACAGAGTTTCTCAACCACTGGTTCACCAACCGATTGGACTTTCGAATGCGCTTTACGTATGTATTATGGAAAATTATTGGCACCGGCTCTTGCAAAACACATACAATTAATTTCTGGTTCGCAATAGGTATTGGGTTATATTCGTCTAATTCTCAATGAGTAATATTGAGCAA